CCCCCCCCCCCCCCCCCCCGGCCTACACACACACACAGGATCATCCCACAGCCTCTTCTCCACTCAGGACGCCAGAACCACATCATTCCCACCCTCCGAGATGGCCCTCTTGTCCGCCTCCTCATCTTACTGTGCTGGCTCCTCCAGTTCCTTCAGAAGGGGCTCCACACGTGTGCCCCACTTTATGTCAAAGACAGGCCCTGAGGAGTGGTGTGCGCAGGCGTGTCTGATAAGTCTGACCTTCCTCAGGGCCAACTAAAGGAGACTGCCTGGCCATGGAGGTCCACAGTAGACCTTGGGGAATGAAGAACTTTGAACCATCAAGCCCTCTACCCCTTCCTCCTCTGATTTTTCAGTTTAGAGTTTGGAAGTAAGATTTCCTAAAAGTGAGTGGTCTCTGTTGACTGGAGTTGCACTATCCACTTGGAGTGAGAGGTCCGTAGGGAAGACTAAGGGGACAACAGCAGGAAGGGGTCTGGGTCCCTGGTGACCAGGGAGCTCCTTATAGGCTCTGAGCCAGCCACCTCTAGACGTCTTTTACTTTACATGAGGGAGAAATACACTTTTATTTAAGCAACTATTTCAGGTCCCTCTTAATCCTAGCCTGGTGCATCAACATTGAAGCAGGTGTCTGTGATGTGATTTGAGAGGTGCCAGAAGGTCCTTATTCCCCCAACATCTCATCTGACATTGACCTTCCTTCATGTAAGTCATTGCTGCCCACAGGCAGCCTCTTTGTGAGTGCAGGGCTGGGAAGGGGATACTTGATGAAGCTATAAGATCTTGAATTACTGGTTGGGCTCCTTTTTCCTGTAACAGGAGGGAGAGAGGACAGTGAAGGAGGTGAGGACAACAGGAAGGGGGGAGGAAGAAGTTTGGAGCAGAGGAGCTCTGTCCATGAAGGGCATCCCTGGACAGGCCTCCTCCCTGGGTTTCTGGGCCTCTGGGGCAGCATACAGGTGAAGGTCTGCTAGTGGGTGAAGCGCTCACTCCCTTCATGTTTCCAAGGATGCGATCTGCCCCTCCCCCTCCCCCATTTCTCACCCAAGAAGTCACCGCTCATGCCCTGGGGTCCCTCACTCTGCGGTGGGGTCAGGGCCCACCTTGCTGTCCATGTAAGCTTCGGTCCAGATGATGTCGTGGTCGTGGTTGATGACCATGGGGCGGCTGAGCACGTGCAGGTACTCCATCACATTCTCCTGGGCGTCTGCCAGGGTGGAGATCTGCGTGTAGTAGCCTGGGGGAGAGGAGGGGCCATGTGGTGTGGGAGGCTGGCTGCTCCACGTGGAACCCCTCTGCAGGGCCCACAACGTCCCCGGCTGCTGGCTGGCCCCTCACTGGGAGCTGCTCTGGGCCACAGGGAACTGCTTTTCCCAAGGCTGTACCTCTTCCAGGGGTGTGGTGGGGGCCAGTGCTAATGATGGGAACTCTTGGGCCCAGCCCTGTCTCCACTTGGGGAACTGGGAACCTCCTCCCCACCCCCACCCTCAGCTCTAGCGCTGCCACAGAAGCAGCAGGGCCTCAGCAGGGTCTGCCTCTCCCTCTTGCAGGGCTGCCCTCCTCACTTCTTACAGCCCCCCCTTCCACTCCCCCAAACTACCCCCCTCCACAGCTCTGTCCCAGGGCCTGCTTTCAGGGACCCCAGGCTATGACAGCTGTCACAACCCCGCCTTCTTCCTTCTCTGACTACTGTCCCTCCTCAGTTATGGAGAGGGAGCCATAGCCTCTTCCCTGTAGCCACAGTGATATTAAAAGAGCAAACGGCTTACAAGGCCATGAATGATTTAGCATGTATTTACCTCTCTGGTCTCATTGCTCGTCACCGCCCACAAAACATTCACTCCACACTCCGGTAAAGTGGAGCAGCTCTCAGATCCCAACATGCCTCTTGTCTCACCCTTTGAACATGCTATTCTCTCTGTCTGGGCCCCACTTCCCTGCTCTCTAGGTCTAGCCAACTCCTACCAGTTCTTTATGTGACAGCCTTCCTGTCACCTCCACATGGGGGAAGTGCCTCTACCGCTGTCCCCCAGCTCCCAGTACAGCCTGTGCCCTTCCGTCCTCACAGGGCATTCAAGATGATGTTATCATTGATGGTTCACTGCTTTGTCTCCCCAGCTGGACAGTTGCAAGAGCAAGACTGAGTCCAAACTGACCACAATTTGGAAAGCTTGTCAGGTACACAGTAGGTGCTCGATAAATTGTGGTTGAACCAAACCCAGGTCCAAACCTGAGACCCAGGTCTTAGGTTCTGGCCAGAGATAGATGAGGACTGTTTGCACACAAAACACTATTCTAAATAAAATGATGACCACCTGCTTTTTGTTTGGGGGTAGAATCAGTGTAAATGGGCTTAATTTGCAGCAATAAGAATGGAGGCTGGACCAAAGAGAGAACTTACATTATAACGTCAGTCCTGCCTCTGCCTCACTGTCTATATTGTGGTTTCTATGAGGCGAGACAGCTCTCTCTCTCTCCTGCAAACATTGGATAGATGACCTCTAAGTTTCATTTCAAGTGGCTTTATGACTTAGAGTCCCTGCAGGAGTAATCAAGGCTTTATGGAGCAATTTGCATTTTGTCTTGCTTTCTCCAAGTGAGAAGGAGGGGCAGATACTGTCATTTCCACAAGACACCGCTCCTCTGCAAGGCCCCATGCAGGAGCCACTGCTCAGCACCCCGGTGACGGTGACGGGGCAATGCTGTTCCACCTGCACTCCGGTACAGGCTGCCAGGTGCTCCGCCCACCTGCCACCTACCTTTGTTGTTGCACGCGATCCACTTCATGCGGTCAGCAAAAGTGACTTCTCTCCCAATCAGGTAAGTGAAAACTCGAACCTAATCCACAAGACACAGATGGACTCAGCAGCCTAACTCCTGGCCGGGGCAATGCTAACATAATGCATGTGAGCCTTCGATGTCTGCCAAGCACTTTGCTGACTTCTCCAGTCCCACTCCTTTGGGTCAGAAAGGGCCCCAGGCCCAGGCAGCACCGGGACTTGCCAGGACATTTTTCACATCTCACCCCCACAGTCTCTCACCTGATCCCTCTTGCACGAGTCCTCTGTGCCTAGAGTCACCACAGCTTTGGAACATTTGAGTTTACTGATGGGCTAATGGGTAGACTATTTGAACTCAGGGCAGGCCTGGCTTTTCTGGGCCATCCCACCATGGCAGTAGGAGACCACGCCCCTTGGCACCCCCTCCCTTCATCCCTTGACCACCACCAGGGAGTAACCTTGCGGTCCAGCTGGTTGTACTTCTCAAACACTGGCTCATAGTCCTCCACGGCCCCGTCGGTGAGCAGCATGATGGCCTGGTTGCAGAGGCTTCCTTGCCTGGCCTCTTGGAACTGTGCAGGGGAGGGGGGTTCTATAACTGCAGCGGGGAACCGCCTTCCCCCCACCTCAGCCTGTCTCCCACCCCTCCACGCTCCCTCGGCTTCCCCAGGTGCAGTACCCGCTTCAGGATCTGGAAGGCTTCCCTCAGGGCTTGGTCCACGACCCCCACACCTTTAACCACCAGCTCGCTGACCAGCTGTTTGAAATGCTGTAGTGGATAAGAAACCAGAGGAGTGTCAGTGGATGGAGTGGCCCAGGGAACCTTCATCTTTGGTCTTAATTTCAGAGGCTGTTTAGAGCTATTTGCTCATCTCTCCAGGATCTAGCTGACCCCCACAGCAGATGTTTCTCCAATGCCCCCAAGATAAACTGAGAGATTTGTGAGTGTCTGGGTGCAAATCTTTCCCCCACTGCTGGAAGGAGATGCCAGTGTAAGTTCAACCCCAGCAAGGAGGCCAGGCCAGGCCAATGCCCAGGCTCCCAGGCCCTCAGCATCCCAGCTCTTACCCCAGTGGCGAGCATTTCACAGGAGAAACCATGGAGGCTGCCAGGGGCTCCGACTCAAGGCTGGGATTCAAGAGGAAGCCAAACCCAAATCCCCCAGCCACAGAGGGAGGGTCTGTGACACTAGACTCCCTTTAAACAAAGTTGCCACATCCTTTCCTCCTAGGCCTTCGGAAAGGACTCAATGCAATGGGTTTGAATTTCCCCTCCTTTTGGGAAGCTCCTCATGAAAACTGACGTAGTGGAAAGGCCGAGGGGGGAGGCAAAGGGGAAAACCGAGTCCTGGATAATCCACAGAATAAGAAACCAGGCCTGAAGAAGTGAGATTTTCCTCACAGGGGAGGTCTCTCTTTGTTCACTGCTGAGATAGACAGGCAGCGGATTCATGGGGGCAATTTCCTGGGTAACTGCAGACCTGCTTTGCCCCTTTCCAAATGCCATGGGACGAGTAAAAGGGCCGCCAGGCAGCTGCACAGATGGCTCCCACCCTTCTAGGCAGAACAGGGGCTAAGAGGCATCCGGCCCTTGCCTGACGTGGACACTCACCTCGCGGTTGTCTCGATCCGCCTGAACAAGGATCCCTTTGAAACAAGGCTCGATGTAATGGATGTAGTCATTGTACTGCAGTTGCAGAGGGAGGAGGGGAGGAGAGAACAGACAGGGTCCATTTGGAAAGTCAAGGCCCAGTGATGAAGCTCAGGTAACTCACAGAGTGGTCTAGGCTGGGGTCACCTGTGCACATTATCTTGGGGTACCCTATGCTTTTGGCAATTTTTCTGAGTAGAGAGGAGGAAGTACAGAGAACAGCAGGGCCTTCACTCTCTCTCAAATTCTGATCTTGACCCATTTTCTTGGGTGGCCAAGTCCTGCCCATCTCCTGGGGCACACAGGGAACTGCAGGTTCCTGATAGAATCCCTCTGGTCTCTGCTGCCAAGACCAGACGAAGTGCCTTCCATGGGAATCCCACAGCCTCCAAGTGCAGACCCCTCCCCAGTGCCTGGGTCCGGGGATGAAAAACTTTGCTCTTTTTGTCTCTGCTCTGCATTGAGGAAGAGGGTCCTTCAGCTGCTAACAGGCTCTGCGAGAGGAGCAGGAGCACACCCCATTCTTGTGAAGTGGTGGGAACTGCTCCCAGCTGTCCTGTCTCTGCTGCAGGTCAGGGCAGGGATGGGGAGGTGGAGAGGTGGGAGCATGGGCCTTGAGAGCAGCTCAGGGAGGAGGCGCCATTTGCATAACCCCAGGATGACTGGTTTGCAGTTAGACCATTTTGCTTTGGTGTTTCTTTAACAGAGAAGTAAATTGCACTAAAGATAAGCATTTTCAGCAATGTGGTGGCTGGTGAAGGGAAGTTTTAGATCAGGTAGCCTTCAAAATGGCACCCCGGTGGCCGTCAGCTCTGCCTCTGCGGCGGGCTGCGCGGGCCCACTCTTTCATTGAAAGCATTCTCCTGACCTGTCCCCTTTCGTCCTGCTGCACCTCTCCCACCATCACCTTCCTGGGGCGGGCAGGGCCAGCCTCGGGAAGAGCTGCTCTGAAGGCAGGACCAGGGTTTGTTGGCCCCTGTCTAGGCGCCCCCACGTACTTTCTCCTTTCTCCCAATGATTTGGGGTGAAGGGCCTGGGAGAACTGGGATTGTTGGAGAGCAGGTGCCCAGGGATCTCTCTTCTATAGCAGAAGGGAGAGGCTGCTCAGCGATGGGCGCCAGTCAAGAGCACGTGGTGGGATAAGTTAGGCGTCTACTCAGGGTCAGAGCTTCTCATCTTTGTTCTATCACAGACTCGTCTGAATTAATAAACTCTGTGGACTCAGAAAAATGGACATACACATAACTTCAGAAACTCTGCGGACCTCTTGCAGTCTGTCCTTGGACCTGGGTTAGGCTCAGCTTCAGAGAGATCACTCAGAAGCTTCGCGTGTTGTAGGTATAGGTCATTCCAGTGCAGGCAGAGGAAAGTTTCTCTAGATAAGGGAGAGCTATTCTAGGAAGGAAGGAAGGACACTTACAGCAATGATATTAACACTCTCTAGATAAGGGAGAGCTATTCTAGGAAGGAAGGACACTTACAGCAATGATATTAACGAAGTCATTCTCTCCCAGTGTGTCCAGGATGGTGGAGATGGTGTGCTTGGCGATAGCCATCCGCAGCCCCTTCATGCTGCCGCTTGTGTCCACCACAATCACAACATCCTTGGGAGAAGTAGCGGCTTGTATGTACCTTTAGCAGAAAGAAAAGGACAGGTCAACGATGGGAAAAATCAAAGCCAGAGCAACCACCCAACCTAGTGTCATTATTTCTGTTTGGATTCTGGCTCAAGTTTATCCAAAGTTCAGATAGTTGCCCCATTGAGACTAGGTTGTATCATGTTCCATGACCACTTCGCATAGTTCTGAAGCCATTCAGGGGGTGACAGCTGGGTATGTGCCCATCTAATGAGCCTGTCAGGTGGGAGAAAGGTCAAGGTCTTGTGGTAACCTTGTCCTCTTTGTTTTGGACCGGCCAGGGTCCTGGAGGGATGGGCAGCAGGATGAACTGGATTCCACCCTCAGATTCTGTTACAAATCTGCCAATGGGGGAAGGGGAGTCGGGGGAAGGAGAGCCTGGCAGAGGGTAGATTTGGAGCAGCTCACTGTCCTGCAAGGAGCTGGGGGCAGGAAAGACAAATGTGATCAGCCCTGCAGCAAGGGCAGCCGTGGTGAGAAGGGAGGCTTCTTCCTACTCTTGTGTCCCACCTGAGACCCTTGGCCTGGAGGCAGGGACTGGAGAAGAACTAGGTAAAACCAAAGGTTAGAAGAGGGAGCCAGCACAGACACCTTTCCCCTGGAGCGCTCACCAGCCACGGTTTCGGCAGTCAAAGGTGATGACTCCATTCTCGTCAGGTGTCCATTTGATGCCTGGGGAAACAAAGGCTGGCTTGTTCACTGGCTCCGTGAGGCTGCTCCAGAGCCCCAGCTGGGTGCTGACATCCAAGAATGCCATGATCCCCAGGGAAGGGCCAGCCATGGACCTGGACAACAGGGTGAGGGGCCACTAGAGCACCCTGCAAACTGAGTCAATAGGCAGGGAGGGAGGCCAGCTCGATGGAGGGACACTCATCACCCACACTGCCAAGACCCAGAGTTGAGGTGAGTTTCACAGTAGGACCCCTATATGTTGTGTGTGGAACTCACTTGTGAGCTAAACCTCACATCAATTTGTGGAAGGGGAAGCTTCCAGAAGGCATGACTTTTAACATCCATTACCATCCAGCAAAAGCATGGACAGAGTGAGGGAGAGCCAGGTGCTCTGACTTCTAGCCATTCTGCCTCTAGTCAGGTTGCCTGTAGTGCCATGGTCCTTCCTGTTAGCTGGCTGGGAGAAATGATTGGCTACAGGACTATAAGCTCCTTGAGGTCAGGGAATCCAAGTACAGGCACACCCCATTTTATTGCTCGTGGCTTTATGGTACTTCAAAGATGCTGTGAGTTTTGTTTTCAAATTGAAGGCAAGGCCCTCCACCAGCAAGAAGGTTAGGACTGGCTTTATGGAGAAGCTCACTTTGTTGTGGTGGTGAGGTACAGGACTGCCTGTACCTGACACAGTGTTTGACATAGCACCTCGCAGGCTGGATGCTCAATAAGTGTTTGTCATATGGACGAAAGAACAAATGAATGAGTATGAAAGATCTTGCCTTGACCCACCAGCAGAGTGCTGGGGTGGATTTTGTCCTATTCATTGAATCAAAAACTTGGATGAATGCACACAAAGCAAAGATAACATTGGCATGCTCCATGATGGAATCTCTATTTGAAAATACTGTAAAGATTGGAAAGAGTGGGCTTACAGTATGGAAATTAAAAATAAGAGGTGCAATTGTATTATGTTGTTTTGGGCTAGAAAAATATCATGGCCGTATCATGACTGTCTAGAAGCAATAAGGGACTCCTGTTCCACAGCAGTTAGACTTCAGATGAGATACACACTTGAGGCATTGCTGGTCCATCAAAAGGAGAAGAGGTTTTCAGGGATCTTACTCCCAAAAGCAAACAAATGGGAGCAGAGTTCCAAGGGTGGGGGCAGGGGCCAGAACAGTCAGGACCCACGGCCTGGAGGGAAGCAGGACAGAACCACGGGCCGAGCTGGTGTCGTGGGAGCCTGGGCAGCATGGCTCTGACCTGGACCTGCAGCGGCAGTGAGCAGTGGGGAAATGAGGGCCATATTCCTAGAGCAGCATGGTTGTGGGGAGTTTGACCTTATAATAGTAACAAGGGGTTCTTGGCTCTGCACCAGGGTTTTGGTGGTCCTGGGTGGGGGTATCCTCAACTCCAAGCAGAAGCAGAAGTGATCCTCTTGAAGGGAAGCTTTTCCCAGTCAGGCCTGCAGGATTCCCACAGATTACAAGGGGCATGGCCCCACGATCAAAGATTACCAAATACACGGGAAACGGCCCCAGGAGTGAGAGGCAGCAGAAGCAAGAACCACCAGGTGTATCCTCCCAAGGCTTACAGGTGTTGGAACTGCCAAATACAAATGACAGGATTGCTATGTTGGAGGAATCACAAGGAAGAAAACACAACAAGAAAATGATTAGGAACAAACAAACAGCCTTCAAAGTATGGGCCTTTTGTAACTGAAAAAAGATGTTTAAGTTGAAAAAAAAAAAGCAGCATGTGGATCATTCACAGGTAAAGAGAAAATTCAGGCATTTGAAGGATTTTTCCAGAATCCTGTGGAAGCCAGAATGAGAAGGTCTAATACAGGGTGTCTCAAAAAATGTATGCACTTTAACAGCTGAAAGCTCAGTTTTGAAAATGAAATGTATTTTTTATCACTGCCTTTATAATTATTCAAAGTGTGTGTATACATTTTTGGGGGGCACCCTAACTATGTCTGACTGGAGACGTAGAAGGAGAAAAAGGAGGGCAAAGGAAACACCATGATGTAAAGACAACGATGCCAATGTTCCAGGACTGAGAAAAATGCGAGTCCAGAGATCCAGGAAGCGTGGTATATCCCAAGTGGGATAAATGAAAAGACATTCTTTTCTAGACACATCGTAGTGAAACTGCAGAACTCCAAAGGCAAGTAAATAAATAAAGACCTTAAAGCAGCCAGAAAACGAGAACATTCACTTTCAAAGGAACAGCAGTTAAGCCAACAGCAGAGTTTCTCAACAGCAGTGGAAGCCAGAAGGCAGCGGGAAATAGTTGGAAGGTGCTGAGAGAGAGTAATTGCTAACTCGGAAGTGCATCCAGCAGAACTGTCACTCAAGCGTGAGCAAAGAAGACTGTGGTGCTGCTTTCGGAATTCCACTTGGGGACTGAGTTCCCCGGAGCTGTTGTTCTTTCTTTACTGGGAGCTATTTCTCAGGATGTGTCATCAAAGGGAGGCTTAGTCAGTCACTTATCGCCAATAGAAAAGAAATAGGATTTGGTCTTTTCTGCTGAAATAGGATGACAACAGGAAATGATTTGTGTAACTTGCAAACATAAAAAAGAATGAGTTTAAAATAAAATAAAAAGAACGAGAAGAAAATAAAGCATGTGTAGATGAACACAAGCTGAAGCAGCTTACCGCGGAGCGCACGATAAGGGAACTTGTGGAGGAGTCACCTGAAGGAGGAACAGGATCTTGGAAAGACAGCTTGAGGTGTGTGAAGGAGTGGTGGGCAAAAAAAAAAAAAGGTAAACAAGTAGCTCTTACCAGATAAGCAATGTTTGCATCAAATAGCAAAATAGTATCTAACTTGGGATAAAAAAAAGAATATATTAGATGACAAGGGAATGGAAATCAAGGTGGGAGAAGGATATGTAAGTGGAGAAGCTCTAAAGCTTTTTTTTGACTTGAGAAAAGGTAAAAATATTATTTAATTTTAATATCTTATTAAATATGACTGGTAAGGGGTAATTATTGAAAGAATAAAAACAGAGGAATAAACTCTAAACTGAAATAAAAAGAGAAATAACAGGGGACTTTTTTAAAGTTACTTATTTAAAAAGGTTATAAGAGGAGAAAGGGAAACAAAAAATGAAGGGACAAATAGAAAATTTAAAAATAAAATAATTTAAAAAATAAGATAAGCATGTTTAAATATATCAATACAATAAATGTAAATGTGCTGAACTTGCCAACTAGTAAAAGAGGTTGCCAGTTTGGATAAAAGTTTAGAAGCTATAGACTATTTTCAAGGGATATGACTAGAACAAGATTGGAGGAAATGATGAAAAAATATATGTCAGGGTAATGAAGGGCATATTGGTATTTCTTATGAATACCAGACAAAATAGACCTAAAAACAAAGTGTAGTAAAGGCTAACAAGGGTCAAGTAGACATAAAGCCAGCAAAAATACAGAAAACGTAAATAATATAATTAACAAGTTTGAGCTAATGACATATTCAGAGCTTTTCATGCCACAATTAGAGCACACATATTCTTCTCAAACACACATGGAATATTGATAAAACTTGATGACATACTAGGCTATTAAATGAAACCTCAACTAATTTCACAAAATCAGTACCACATATATCATGTTCTCTGTCTACAAAGCAATTCAATTAGAAATTTATAATAAAAAGATAAAGTCCCTATATCTTTGTTTTTTAAAGAAATTATTGCTGTTAATCCTCACCCAAGGATTTTTTTCCTCATTAATTTTTAGAGAGAGTGGGGCAGCGGGCGGGGGGGGGGTGGGAAGAAGGAAAGAGAGAAACATCCATTGAGAGAGACACATCAATTGGTTGCCTCCTGGGGGCAGGGGATTGAGCCTGTGAGGTACGTGCCCTTGACTGAAATCGAAAACAAGCAAAACAAAACAAAACAATATATTGCTTAAGCAGATGTGTGTGTGTAAACATGAGATAAAACTAAATAACTAAACAAACAGAATGCCAAAAATCCAAATAAAATGATAGGCTCATAATTCAGGATAGCTATTACTTGGGGGGTAATGGAGGGTAAGTGGAGGAGAGAGGGGGCAAAATAGAGGAGCACATATGTAAATAGAAATTATTGGTAATTTAATTTTTGTGTTGGTGATGTGTATACAAGCATTATTATGTTATAAATAAAATTTAAAATAGATAACAGTGGGCCTGCAAGGACCCATGGGGATAGTGTACTGTGATCAAGGATTATAGCCAACCCCATATTGTCCACCTGAGGGCTGATATGCACCTATAAATGTGGGTGAGGGTGTGAGAAACACCCTCTCTACTAAGACCAATGGCTTACAAAGAAGCCACTGGATTGTGTTGTTTGCACACAAATTGACTTATCGGGAAGACCTGATATAGCAAGAATATTTACAGGAATTCTATCCTGGAGAAGACTTGAGAGACCTGTGAGTTGTCTTCAAGCATTTGAAGGGTCTGTCTCGGGAAAACAGGGCAACGTTAAGACTTTGAACAGTGTGCTAAAATATAAAAGTAGGTTGGAGTAAAATTTGGAGGTGAATTTTTTTATAAATAGGAAGTTAAAAAACAGAACTCTTGCAAATGTTATAGAAGATTTTGTTTTCTATTTCTAGTGGTAGACAAGGGAGCTTTCCCCATTGTCTGTTAGATCAGCCACTGATTACATAGTGACCCAGGACATCTCTACATTGCGGTTGAACATGTTAAGTGAGTAAGCCCCATTTCTCCAATTAAGATGTGAACATCTTAAGGTCAAGAATTGTTTTAGCCCCCTTTGCATCTTCCACAGTGCTTTTCATAGGACAAGAGTTCAATGCGGGCATTGACTGGCTGGTTACCATAGTATTTAATTAATTAATTAATTAATTAATCCAACAACTATTTGTTGGAAATGTGCATATTATGGCGTGAAGAGTGTCAAAATGTGGGTTGGAGGTTCCTTTGGATGTCAGGGCCAACCCCATTCACCAGGGGTCTGAGTGCCAGCGTCCATCCGCAATACCCTTGTGGCCTTATTCCCAGAGAAGAAGCTGAGAGGATCTGGGCGATGCCTCCCATGTCCTCACCTGGGTAGATCCTAAAGAATCCAGTTGAGCTGCCAAAATATTGCCAGGTCAGTGTCGGGTCTCTCTGGAAGTTCTCCACAAAAACAGGGTTCAAGGCTTCGGACATGTAGACTCCATTTAAAATATCTGGGTCTAAAGAGCGAGATTGTAGAAGGAACTGCAGGGACACTCAATCAGGAGCAACAGTGACCAATTCTTCACCTGGGAACACACACACACACACACACAGCCGGCAGTGATGCAGTTCACACTTCCCTCTACATCTCACTGGAAGAGCCACACACCCTCTAAGCCAGGAGCCCCGAGCTTTCTCCAGTCCAGGCTCCTGTGAAACGCTTCCCCACGCTGAGTCAGGGAGGTTGGAGAAGGGCTTCTCGGGAAAATGGGGCCAAATCGTTAACCTCCACCAGCACCACCCCCACAACTGTGCGGGGCCACGGGGCGGGGACTACCTTTGTTGTACACGTTGGTGGGCAGCTGCACACTGCTGAGGGACGTGTTCACCCTCAGGTTGCTGAAGTGCGCGTTGGGCTCCAGGACAAACTCAGCCCCCAGCTCCACGTACTCGCCCCTCGCATCCCTCTCGTTGATCAGGACCGAGTTGTAATAGTCAAACTAGGGCAGAGAATGGGCCAGACGGGGACCGGTGGACAAAGACTCGCCGAGTGCGAGAGAAAGAGAAATGGTGCAATCAGAGGACTCAGATGTGAGAGACCTCAGGCGGGCTGACCGCGTCCACACAAGCTCCAACTGGGGGATGCAGGCAATGACCCACAGGATTCAGATTTGGGGCAAATACATATCCAGATCATTGGAGCAGGTGGTTGATTCAAGTAGGGCTTGACATAGATTTTCTGGATTATTGCTCAGTTCTCCACTTTATTTATCATGTGTGGACACAGCCAGAGACGGTGACAGAGACAAGCAGACAGATTCCAGGAGAGGTAAAGGCAGCCTTGTCAGTACCACCAGCTTCTTCAGTGCCGGACACTCCCGGGGACCCAGGCAGGGCCCCAAGAGGTGGGGGTTCTCTCTTTAACAGCCTGCAGCCTGTGTCCCCATGACCCCGGAGAGCCAGCAGTCTGCTCTGTGCTCTTACACACAGCGCTGGATCCATTTGGATTACCACCTTGCAGCCATAACCAGACCCTCTTCCCCACTGTCTCCACACCACGTGGCTCAGACCCGAAGAGCACCCTCATTTCCTGCCCATGTCCTGCCCATGCCACAGCAGTGCTGCCACAAATCTGCTGTGTCCCTCCAAGCTCAAAGCCTTTAATATGTGACTTGTGGGCTGAATAAAGGCCAGAGTCCTACCTTTACTACAGTCACTTTCTGCTTCACCGTCCCCTGGACATACAGAGCTGAGCACTGGCAATTTCCTCAATATTGTGTATTTTTACTTCTTTTCCTTCAGCTTGGAAACACCCTCTTCATGTCCTCAGCTGCTCAAATCCCCCTCAGCCTGGGCTGGTTACGAGGATACTCTGTCTGGGGGCTTTCTGACCGCCCCCCCCACCCCTTCCCTTCTGCACTGTGGGAACATGGTACCAGGTGCATGGGCAGGCTGTGGGCCGTATGCTAGAGATTTTTGGTCTGTGAACTTCTTGAGTTCATTTGGGCAGAGGCTAGCACACAGCATTGGGTGGTGAAGTCTGTGGAAGAGTGATTGCCATTTTGCACCCCCGCCCCAGGTTTTGGTAGCTGTCTCTCCTACCTGGCCCACAAATCCCTTCTCAAAAGACTCCAGAGCATTTCAGAATCTTATTGTAGGATCATACAAATCCTGAGCACATTAAAAGGTAGTGCTGGACCCCCGGCTCCCCCTATTCCTCCCCATCCTGCACTCAGGGGACACTGTCCATCCTGGGGCGGGAGATTGGCCATAATACCCTCTCAGCAGCAGCTCCAGGAGCAGGAGGACTCACCACCAGCGATTCATTGAATTCATGGTCCAGGTCAGCTTCCTCAGCCGCCTCTACCACATTCTGAGGGATGGGAACACGGAGGGGAGAATGAATGGGCAGAAGTAGACCAGTGGGTCCTCAATTCCACTCCCAAGAATATACCCAAAGAGAACTGAAAGCAGGGACTCAAACAACAACTTGTGTGTAAATGTTCACAGCAGCACAATAGCCAAAAGATAAGTGCACATTTCCAAGTGAAAGAAGCCAGTCTGAAAAGGCTACCTACTGCTTGAGTCCAACCAATGACGTTCTGGAAAAGGCAAAAATGGAGACAGTAAAAAGATCAGTGGTCATCAGGGGTTGGTGATGGGGGGAGGGATGAATAGGTGTAAAATAGACAGTTTTTAGGGCCGTGTGCCTATTCTGCATGGTCTATAATGGTAGATACATGTCATTGTGCATTTGTCAAAACCCACAGAATGTACACCACCAGGAGTGAACCCTAATGTAAACTATGGACTTTGCGTGATTATGATGTGTCGTGTAGGTTCATCTATTGTAACCAATGTACCACTCTGGTGGGGGCTGCTGATAGTTGAGGGAGTCTGTATGTTTGTGGGGGCAGAGGTTATATAAGAATTCTCTGTACTTTCTGCACAAATTTGCTATGAACCTAAAACTGCTCTAAATAGTCTGTTTAAATGTGTGTGTGTGTGTGTGTGTGTGTGTGTGTGTGTGTGTGTGTGTATACCATTTAGTCATGTTAAAGTGTGCAATTCAGTGGCATTAGGTACATTCCTAATATTGTGCAACCACCACTGTCTAGTTGCGGAACTTCTCATCACCCCCAATGGAAACCCTGTGACCACCAAGCAGTCACTCCGTCCCCTCTCCCTGGCTCTTGGCAACCATAATCTGCTTTCCGTCAATGGATTTTCCTATTCTGGATATTTCACACAAATGGAATCACACAGTAGGTGGCCTTTTATATCTGGAGTCTTTCACAGAGATGTTTTTAAGATTCATCTGTGTTTTAACACATAGCAGGAAGTCATTCCTTTTCATGGCTGAATAACATTCCGTTGTATGGATACCTCATATTTTGTTTATCCATTTATCAGTTGATGGACATTTGGGTTTTTCCACCTTTCAGCTGCTGAATATAAATATACACAGGTTTTTTGTTTTGTTTTGTTTTGCTTTTGTCAAGTAAACCTCAATAAATGTGGGGGGAAGAGGAGAAGAGCTGAGCTCCTATTCTGGCTTTGTCGGGGCCAGGCACTAGGCCTCTCTGGTCTCCATAGAACTGTAAATCGGGTAGAAGAGTCTCCAACTTCCCTACTCCTAACCCCCAATTCCTAGGATGTGATGAAGAAATTCCACAGGGCCAAGGTTACTGTAGTGCTGCTTTGCAGTAAGTGTCCCCATGGACACTCCCATAGAAGGGCCCGTGGTTGAGTCCTCCCCACGGGACCCCCAGCAGGGAGCAGGGCCTGGTGCTTGGAGAAGGTCTGCAGAGCAAGCACTGGTTTGATTGGTTTTCCGAGGCTGAAGCTGGGAGAAGGACACAGCACATCTGGAGACACGGGGAGCCCAGGGGGACCAGTCCCGCAGTGGTGCGCTCCTGCATCCCAGCACTGAAGGCAGTGGGTGGTCCTGTTGTGCTGGTTGTGTGGGTCAGTGTCCCCCTGCTTCCACCAGGATGGGATCTCCAGGCCCCAAGTGTCTTCTCAGTGGTTCCTGATGCTAAGATGCCTGCCCCTAAGCCTGGAGAAAAGAGGCTGCAACTTGTAACGCGGGAAAGAAGGCCCCAGCGGTTTTACACAGGGTGCCTCCCAGATGGTCCTTTGGATAGAGGATGTGGCGCGTGCTGGGTATGCCATGGTGGGATCACCTGAGCAGAGGCCCTCACTATAAGCACCTATGCTGTCTGGGCAGCCCTCAGAGCACTTGGGATCCATGAAGGGTGGGTCTGTATGGCAGGAGTGGAAAGGATGGGGGGCAGTGCAGGGGAAGGAGAAAAGGAGAAAGGAGAGGCAGGGAACTTTACTTTGTATGCTCTCCAACCCTCTATACTCCCATCCATCCTCCACCCAATTATCACCACCCATCCATCCATCCACCCATTTATCCATCCTCCACCCAATTACCACCCACCCATCCATCCACCCATCCATCCATCCAGCCAGCCAGCCAGCCAGCCAGCGTCTCCTCAGCCCTCATTTTGCTCCTGCTCTGCACCAGTCACTGAATATAACGTCATGATGCAGAGTCCCCCCAACACTGCAGGTTGGTCCTACTGCACTGGACGCTGTTCTCTAAGGCAGAGCTCCAATCCCAGCTCTCCCTCCCCCCTTGCTTTCCATCGTTTCCTCCTTTACAAGAACCTTTTGGCTCCTGGGGATGCTGGGCCGATGCTCGTGAGGTAGGAAAAGGATGATATGGGTGAGAGGGTGCAGGGCCATGGCATCATTTTGAGGGTCATTTTGGTGTGACGGGCTGGGCAGAGTCCCCCTCCCCCCAGATCACAGGGCCTGAGCACCTTCACAGCCTCCACTTTCCTGCGTAGCATGGTCTCCATGTCCTCTGAGAACTTCTTCACCAGCTCCAAGCCATCCACCTCCTGGATCCTCAGATTGGGCTCCACATCCTTGTATTTCTGTGGAGGGGAACGTGGGAGAGATGACACCTGCATCGGCACCAGGAGGTTTGGTGCCTCCGTCCTCTCGGCCAGCGCATTCACACCGTGAGGCCTCGTTTACGCAGCTGGAGGCAGGACAGGCCCCCTCCTCCTCACGTAATCTCCCCACGACCGACAATGGTTGCCTCTTATCACATGTCCTCTCTGTTCCAGGGGCTCTGGACACATTCAGTTAATATTCTTAAGAGGGAGTAGACTGGGGCTCAGAGGGGTCAATGAACTTGACCAAGGTCACACAGCCAGGTCTCTGAGACTTCTGTACAGCCATGCCTGCCACCTCCCTGGGGCGGTTCACGTGGACTGGGGCTGCCCTGAGCATCAGTTCTTCTCCCCCCCTCCCCGCAACACCCACGATGCGCATCCTGTCCAGACCAAGCTCAGCAGTGATGGGTATTGACGCCGCCTGACAAACTGTTCAGAGAGCTGGATTCAAATTCACTCTCTGGGCCCAAGGGAGACCATCTTTTCCCGAGTGTGTGTGTCAGCAATGTCTAAAGGCTCAGGTCAGCAACCTATTGACCACGTGACCTGAGGCAAGTTACTAAGTCAGTTTCCTCATCTGCAAGATGTGACATTAGCATGATTTAGAGAATGTTCTGGAATGCATAGACTTAGAGAATGTTTTTACCCCAGTCACATAGGATTGCTCTATGTTTCTCACCGGGGTTAGAGGGCACAAATGAGAACACAGAATGAAATGGTGCTTTGCAGAGTAGGAGTGTGGTAGGGCAGGGAGTGGGAAGTGGGATTGAGCTGTTGTTGTTATAGTGGCCTGTGGAGGTCCCTGAATGGGGGCGTGGCACCCTGGCTCCGCCTGCTCCTCCTGTGGGCTGTGGGAAGGGGAGACAGGAAGGAGCTGCATGGTGGTCACATGCTGGCATAAAAGCCTGAGAGCTGCTTTTAGCATCATTTAGAAAATGGCAAATGTCATAGTCACCTCATGAATTGTAGTGAAAGTAAGACCCTGAATATAAAGCTCTCAGCAAATGGTAATAATAGAGAACGGCAAGCTATTATTAAAACTGCTCTGGGCGTTATAAATATCAGAGGGAAATGAAGTTGTTTATAATCTCATAAGAGGACAGGCTAGGTGTCAATCTGCACACAAAGCAATTAACCAGGGGAGTGGGGCTTGCTGGTGCCCCGTCCTCTCCATCGGGCCCTGCGTCCTGCCCAGGAGCCAGGCGCGGCCCAGACCTGTGCTGGGGCCCCTGTGGCTCTGCAGCCCCCAGACATGGCCGGAACCCTGAGAACCAGAGGTGTGGGAGCTCGCGGAGCACAGAGGCCACAGGCCCGCTCATGCTGCCCAAGCAGTGCCTGCAGGACTCACCCCTCCTCCTCTGCCCCGCCCCTTTCACAGGAGCCAGGCCTGCCCCCCAGCCTGCTGTTTCTGCCCCCTCACCCCTCTGCTCCTCACAGCTCCTCCCTCAGTAAATCCCTGTCCTCTGTCAGGTTCCATCTTGACCTCCGCTTCCTGGGGATCTGAGCTGACACTGTGCTCCTGGCCACCCCGCTGAATTGCTCTGTGACTCGGGTCTCAGTTTCCGTGTCTGAGGATGAGGGGATTGGATAGATGATCGCTAAGACCCCTCACAGCCCGAACATGCGGGGATTCTGGGTCTCTGCTCCCTGGCAGGGCTCCCTGGCTGACCGCCCGCAGGCCCTGTGAGCTCCCTGGGAGGTGTTACTCACCTTCTGCAGCAAGAGAGAGCCTGAGTATTTGGTCACGGTGTCATACAGGTTCCCGCCAAAGGTGTCTGCCCACAGCTTCACTCTGCCGGGCCATGAAAGTACATGTGTACAGACACACACACACACACACACACACACACATGGAGACACACACATAGATGCATATGCACACACACATGCATAGACAAAACAAGTGTCTACTCTAATGCATAGACACCACTGATGCACACATGCACAAATACATAGACACACATGATACACAGAGACTCGCACACTAACACACATGTACACACAAACACATACACACTGACACACACCCAGAAGGACACATATGGCAGGGCAGGAGACTGAGGACCCACAGGGGCCCAGAGCGGGCTGAATGCCCTTGGCTGAGGGATGAGGGGCAGGGGCAAATGAGGCAGAACCGAAGCCTGACCTCAGGCCCCCAAGGGCTGTGGTTTGTGGGCGGGAATGGAGAACAGAGGAGGGGAAGAGGCTGTGGACAGGTCCGGGGCAGGGCAGGGAGGACCCTGAGGATAGACACAGGAACTGCCTGGGCACAGCTGCAGCTTCTCAGTGAGTCACTCCCCTCCAGTGTCCCCTGCTCAAGGTCGCTGCACGCTGCTGCATCCTGCTGAAACTTCAGAGGGAGCGTGCCGCGCAGGGGCAGAGGAAGAGGCTCCCAGCTGCTTCTGCAGAGGGTGGGCCAGGCAGTGAGGGCAGGAGAGGCCACACCTGACCCTGATGCAGGCAGCCTCTGGAGAAACCCTGACCTTTTGTCCGTCCCCAGAAGGATACGGGATCTCACCATCTGGACAGGCTGGAGGGGTCTGGGGGCAGGCACAGGCTGAGTCTGAGCCTCTCCAGATGGAGCAAATGGAGTTTGCCCACATGATCATTTCGAGATCAGCATGTATTCAGCCACTCAACCAGTATCTACTCATGTCCTGCGTCCCGGGCATTGTGCAGAGTCCTGGAGCCACATCACAGTCTTCACCTTTGTAAGACCTTCCATTAGAGCAGTGGTTCTCAACCTTCCTAATGCCGCGACCCTTTAATACAGTTCCTCATGTTGTGGTGACCCCCAACCATAAAATTATTTTCGTTGCTACTTCATAACTGTAATTTTGGTACTGTTATGAATCATAATGTAAATATCTGATATGCAGGATGTATTTTCATTGTTACAAATTGAACATAATTAAAGCATAGTGATTAATCACAAAAACAATATGTAATTATATATGTGTTTTCCGATGGTCTTAGGCAACCCCTGTGAAAGGGTTGTTCGACCCCCAAAGGGGTCGCAACCCACAGGTTGAGAACCGCTGCATTAGAGGGATGCCCCTTCATATACAGATAGCATACTACTTGTTTGAAGGGACACCAGTGAAACTTGGGGAGGGGCCGTGGTGGTCAGGGAAGGCTTCCTGAGGGAGGTGGGATCTGAGTTCAGTGTTAGAAGCTGGGGAGAATTTGGGATGAGAGTACAGAAGAGCTTTGGGGGGACAAATGTGACTTCTAGGTTTCTAGCTTGGGCGGTTGAGCTGATGAGGTGTTATTAAATAAAATGAATATCAGAAGGATCATGGAAGCAAGTGGGAGAGGGTGGAAGATGATGAATGTAGCCTGGGATACGCAGAATGGGAGGTTTCTGCTGCAGAGCTATGTTGCAGAGTGATGTTGGGCAGGTTGTGCATTGTCCAACTCCAGAAAGTACCAATCACTTTGTATCTTGAAAGACACAAACTTGAATTTAAAACCTCGCATGATGTCCGGGAAAAGCTGTCCACAGGCAATGGATATATGAGCCTAACAGATAGAGGCAGGGCTAAGAGTCATTAGTACATGAATGGCGGTTGAACTTCTGAGCGCAGATGGGCTCTCTCAAGGAGAGAGTGTGTAGCATGAAAAGATCTGAGTGGCTGACAAACCCTGGGGAACACCAGCACCAATCTCAGGGGCAGGGGCACCTGAGAAAGACAGAGGTAACAGATGCCCAAGGAGGCCCAGGTGTGCACAGCATTATGAAAGCTGAGGCATGGAGACTCAAGGAAAAGGGGGAAGCCAGTGTCCGAAGAGTCCAAAGAGAGAAGTCCAGAAATGTCTACTGGATTGGGCAGTGAGGGTCTTTGATGACTTGGGTGAGAACAGATTTGGGAGGGCAGGAGAAGCAGGGGCAAGCTTTGGAGGCTGAGGGCTGAGTGGAGGGATGGTGTGGCTTCATAGGAGAGGGAGGGGCTTTGGGGTGGGAAAGAGGAGGGGGTCAAGGTCCTGGGTGGAGACCTGGCGCCAAGGGAGTGGGCAGGTGCAGTGTAGAGCGTTTTGTTCCCCTCATTTATTGAAAATGTATTTAGTAGGTACACCAGAGCCAAGGACTAAACACACACACTCCCAGAGGGGTTGCATAGTAATTTAAATGTATACCAAAGTGTAAATGACTGACACCAGGTCTTCATGACTGGGTGTAGCGCCGGGGCCTGGAGGGAGGCAGAAAGGCATAGAAAGGGAAGACCGAGACCACCAAAGTCCAATATGACCTGGTTCCTGGTTGCACGAGCCATTTGGTTGATTTAGAACTGCTTGCCCTTCCAGAAAGTTAAAACAACTTCCTGACAAATCCTTGGGGAGCCGCAATAATGTAACTCACCACAGCTCCCACTCCCAGGCCCCTAATGGCAGCCATTACCCTGGAAGGAGAGCGCCTGCAGGTGCTCTCTACGCTGCTTGTCACCCCATGAGTGTGAGCCTGGCCATCAGGTCAGCTTATACCGGCAGGTGGTTGGGGAGGGGCAGGCAGGACTCCCAAATGGAAGAGAGGAGGGTGGAGAAAAGGTCTTCACAGCCAGAAAGGGGGTGTGACCCCCAGGGGCGAGCCAGAGGAGACCGGAGGTGGGAGGCACAGAGGATTGAGGTCTGCCCTGGGGAAGGAAAGGAGGAAGGGGAAAAGGGTTTTATGGGGGAGGGGCTGAATTGGATGCTTACGTTTCCAGAGGAATCATGGCCTGCCCCCACGTGGGGGACAGAGAGGTGCTGGACAGCAGCAGACACAGGATGACTGCAGGCTTCCGCAGTGAGGGCTGCAGGCAGTGGGGCATCCTGCTGCCGGTGGGGCGGGGGGCCTGGGTGGGGCCTGGGAGGTCCGGGCTGTGCTCCTGCTGTGGTCAGGATGGGCTCTGCCTGTTGGCCAGATCCTTGGGACGCCCCAAGCCTTCTGCTTTTTTGGGTCCTGGCAAGCCTGGGGTTCCCAGCTTTCAGTCTGGTCTTGTCTGCAATGCTAGTGGGAGAAGGGGCTTCTCTCTGTCCCGCAGAGAACAGCGACAGAGGAGCCTCGCCTTGCCCGACCAGCAGGCTTCCAGGAGAGGGGCTGACTGTGGCAGGGAGGCTGTGACAGAGGAACCCCTTAATCCTCTGGTCTCTCCTCTAATCCCCCGGCTGACAGCAGGGGAGGGGGGCGGGGAGGGGTGTTGGCAGGAGTGACCTCGCAGGATTACTTTGATTTCAGAAGACAGGGCTTGCCCATTCCATGAGGGGTCAGAGCCCACGCTCCTGCTTTAAAAAGGCAGTCCTTCTGCACCCAAGGGGAGGGGGGCACTGTGACACTGGCCCAGGGCAACAGCTGGCGTTTGCCCAGAGCTCTGATTTACCAAGAGCTGTCCAATCCTCCCTTTAAACTGCAGAGCGGTCCTGGCAGATGGTGTCACCCCTCCCTGTTTTCAGGGCTGTGAGGTCAAGGAGGCTTGGGCACAGGGTTGAGTCTGACTCTGGCTCATGGCTCCAGGCCTGCTGCCTTTGGCTGGTTCAGAGGCAATGCCAGCATCCTATGCCCC